AGCGGCAGTAAATGACAGAGCGGAGGCAAACCACGACCTGGAATATACAACCACCGCTCCATCATGATTCAGTAGGATTTTCCTCGATTTTATACTTAACTTTATGACCAACAATGCTGCTAGCAAACGCGTGCTTTCAAGTATACATTTTGTCCGGGCGACAGACGCCGGATTTGGAAAGTCCAGTCAGGTACCTAAGGCTTTGTAGTGTAGTGGTTATCACTCAAGATTTTGACTTCTAGTCACATTCTTGAAACCCCAGTTCGAATCTGGGCAAGGCCTTGTATGTTTTGTAATCAACTCATTAATATGTACTTTTTACTATATTTGGAAGTAGTGGGCTTACCGGCGATGTTACTAAAGACGTGCTTACGAGCGGATACACCTTCAAACCCTATAACAATAAAGTAAGGTTATAGAAAATCGTGTTCACCATTGTCTTGAATGCATTAAAATTGTACAAGTGCATTGCATAGATAAAGTTCCATTACAGAGTCCATGGTCAAAACGACTACGACATCGAAAGTCATATAGTACAGAGTCATCGAAATGGCATATATCTACTGGGTCTGAACAAAAAAAAACGAATTGAGGGTGTTTTGTTGACCATGCCTAGTCGCTAAAGTATTCAGAGTTGTCTTCTGACCCATCCTCAGGAGACATAACCCTTCGTCTAGACAAACTCCGACCCCGGGGAGGTTCACCGTCCTCACGACTCCATGCGCCCCATCTCTCGGCTGCAGACCGCCTCCCCGCAGCCCGAACTGGTGGCTCGTCACCGTCGTCATCGTCATCCGAAGCAAGGTCGATGGTAGCGTTGGGGTTGACACTGGCCTCATCTTCCTCATCGTCGTCTTCGTCGTCGGCCTCTTCAGCCGTTTCAGGCATTGTTTCAGTTTCGACAGAACGTCCACGACGACCTCGACCAGGGAGGAAATCGTCCTCTTCTTCCTCATCGCTATCACTGAGACCAGAGCTGGAGCCCGAATACGAGTTTGCTCGCATGACTGGTATGGGGGATGAACGGTATCCACGGGCACTATGGTAACCTCCATCTTCTGGTTCTTCTTCCGAGTCCGAAACTGCGTAGTGGTTGAAGTACGCAGCGGGAGGTGGCCGTGGGAGTTCCGTATCATTAATGAACGAATCATCCTCGTCTTCATCTTCGTCGTATGAATCGTATACTCGGGCGCGGGGGGGATAGCCGAAAATGGGGACCTCTGCTTCGTACACGCTCTCGCCGCTGCCATCATCGCTTGCCTCGCCACCGTACAAAGTGCCCCCGAATAAGCTTGCTCCACCACCGTATATGCTCCTCCGGTCGTCGTCGAAAATGCTAACACTGCCATCGTCACTCCCAAAAGCAGTATGCGCACTCTCGTCTGAAAACGCGCGCCCACAACCCACGCACTCTCCATCCCATATTTCATAGAAACATGCAGGGCAGCGACGGATCCCGCCATCTTCCTCGTCGCGTACGGGACGGGCAGGTGGAGGTCGGAATATGTCTGCCCAAGGATCGGGTGATGCGGTTGACGTATCCCCGTTGGAGGCCGATTGGGGAGGATGGGGATGAAGGGTGGTCACAACACCGCCGAGGCCGTATATCTCGACAGGTCGAGACACGACGACTCCACGGCAATGTGGACATGTTTTGCGTTTTTGTCGCGGGCGTTCGTCCGGTTCGTCGGCTTGACCTGGAGGTGGAGAAGTGAACCAGCTAACTAGACATCCTTGACATGCAATGTGACCACAAGGTACGACGCTGAATAACGGTTAGATAAGACAGTCGCTAGGCGCTCCAGGCTTACACGAATGGCTTCCATAGTGGATCAAGGCAAATGGGACAATGCACAGAGTTCTGTATGGTCTCAATGGTGCTTTCGTGGCGAGAGATAATCTGGTCAAGGGTGTGAATAAAGAAGATCAAATATTGGTAGATCACGAACTTGGTTCTTCTGTTCGAGCTGGCCATGCAGACGCGCGATCTCCTCTTGCAATTCCTGTTCTTTTTGGTTTATGACCGGAGTCTCGGGTATGGGCACATCTCTAGGAGATATAGGCGACGAGCCGTGAATTGTGGAAGCGATTTCTACAAGCGATGTATCCAGGTGATTTGGTGAAAGCGCTGCATTTGCCAGGGCCCCTTGTACGGAAGTTCCGATAAATAAATCGTCGGCTGCCTGGGCAAGAGACATTGGTGTCCTCTTCGGTGTTCGTTCTCTCCACTTGCCCTTGTTTTGCCACGAGATACGAGTGCGATCTCTAAGTATGTTAATGTTGGGAGAACTGGAAAGGGGCGACTCGCCACCGTTTCGAGGGCGCTTTTCAGGGCCGTCAGTACGGTCTTCAGACGGAATGCGGGGTCGCTTTGCCTTGTGTCTGTTTCGCGAGGCCGGCATTGCAGCGTCTCGAGTTGGCAAGTTGTTGCGAGTGAACCACGGAGTGAACAAACAAAAGACGAGGATGACATAATATATGCTTGGGTAAGCACTATAAGCGCCGGGGAGACTTGCCAATTAGAGTTTGACCGCGTCGCCCTGTGCCACGCTTGGAGCATTTTCATCCATCGACCACACCATGTCGAACTCGGGTGCTAGAGACATTGCTGGGGCTGGGTCTACCCCCCAGAGTAAAACTGCGCCAACTCCGGTCAACACACCCCTGAATACTGCACCAATTTCCCAAGGTGAACATATATTGATATTGTGGAGCGGTGGCTTATGCGTCACATGTAGGCCTCTCTCGCCCTACAGTCCCAGAGACGATCGATGAAGACATGGATATGGCTGATGACCTTGAAGAGGGTGCCGCCGACCCTACTGCTCAAGCTATTTACAACCTTGTTTCGGGTGCGTACGATACCATAAACATTCATCAGCCACTGGGATTAACCATCGACTTCTGTGCCACTTTAAATTTTCCGGAAATTTTGTCCGTGTATAGGTCGCCTTGCCGGCCTCGTCGGTCGGTCATCAGGTTATATCGAAAACTTGCCCCCATCGGTCAAGCGTCGCGTCGAAGGGCTCAAGGGAGTTCAGGATAAACAAACCGAGCTAGAAGCCCAACTGAAACGCGAAATGTTTGAACTGGAGAAGAAGGCATGTATTTGCGTCATTTTCGGTGATCAACTAATCCTTAAACGCTTGGTTTTTGATATTGCAGTACCTCGCGTTACATGCACCCCTTTACGAACGGCGCCGTGCTATCCTTGTTGGGGAGGCGGAACCGACAGACGAAGAGGTTGCAGCTGGTGAAGCCATCACTGCCGAGGACAAGGAAGATGAGGACGACGAAGACGAGGAACTTGCCAAGTCAATGGCGAAGCTTGCAACCAAGAAGGGCAAGGGACAGACCGAAGAAGCCCCAGAGCCCGAAACCCCTACAAAGGGTGTTCCTCAATTCTGGCTTACTGCCCTTAGGAACCACATTGAACTCCAGCAGCTGATCACAGAGCGCGATGAGGAGGCTTTGGGGTCTCTGGTAGACGTCAGGTGAGTGCAATGATACCATACCCTCGTTTACGCGGACTGCTGACGAAACACCAAACAGACTGAACTACGTTGAGGAACCGAATCTGGGTTACAAGCTTACTTTTGTATTCGAGGAGAATTCTTTCTTCGAGAACAAAGAGTTGTACAAGACCTACTATTACCAGGTTCGTCCCCAATATTCGATAAGCGCCTCGGCTCGGTTTGGTAACGGCATTTCCCCAACAGAAAGAGCTCGGCTACGGTGGCGAATATATGTACGCACGGGCAGAAGGCACAAAGATCAAGTGGAAAGAGGAAAAGGATCTCACAAAGACCGTTGAGATCAAGAAGCAGCGGAACAAGAGTGAGTCATATCAACTCGAGCTATATGCGCATACAGCTCAACTCCCTTTTCCGCAATAAACAGACACAAACCGTACCCGCCTCGTTCGTCGCACCCAAGCCGTCCCGTCCTTCTTCGACTTTTTCTCCCCTCCTGTTCCTCCTTCGTCTGATGCCGAGTTGGTCGAGGCCGGGCTGGCTGTTGATGGCGATGAGCTTGAGGAGAAAGAGTTGGAAGAGCTTGAGGAGAAGTTGGAGCTGGATTATCACCTTGGAGAGGATTTCAAAGAAAAGGTGAGCGAGATATTCCATTTATTTTTTTGACTTGGTTTGGATTGGGATGGGGTGGGACTCTTGTCAAACGCCTCGACGGACATCGTCGGTCCGAGGGTCGCCATGTAATTGCGAGGCGCGTGACTAGAGGTCGCGTCTCGATGATCACCGCACCGCATTGCAGGCTTAACCAAAATCTTCCACTTCTCACGTCTAATCGGAATATTGCGGTGCCAGCTCAATCCGCACTTCATATCCCCATCGTTATCATAATTCTGATCGCTATCTCATATAGATTATCCCTCGCGCCGTCGACTTCTTCACGGGCAAGGCACTACGCTTCGAGCCCAGTTTGTCAGACATGGAAGAAGAGTCCGAGGCAAGTTCTTCACTCCGTCCTCGAAGGTTTTTACTAACCTTCATTCATAGGATGGCGATGAAGACGAAGACGACAGCGACTCTGACGG